AACCATACAGACATGATTTCAGGACAGTGGTGGAGCCCCAGAGCCAGGTCCCAGCTGCAACCGCTGCAACCCTGGTAGTTCTCATAAAAATGCCAAGTATTGGCATTGGTACTCGAAAAGTATCGGTGTATCCCTAGTGCTAAGGCTTGAAAGGAAGCTAAAGTTTATTTTCTGTCAGTTACATTTACATTTTCTATTAAATGAATTTTATTTATTGTATCTCATATACTGATTTGTGAAAGTTCCGTCCAGTGGTCATTTGAATACAGGAATGTGGTTGGCCTCTACTATTAAAATATATCTAACCTTGAAAGCAAGAATGTAATATATTACAGCTTACTAGTCCTTAGATGTGCTGAAGCATTAGTTTGCTGTCTAAGGCTTTTTAAAGTGATATTGAAATTAAAAGGTTTTTAAGCTATTTCAAATGCTTGTAAAATCACTTACAATGGATTCTGCTCCTTGATAGATAAAGATTTTAGTTTCCTGTCGAATAAGCTGGTCCCCTGAGCACTGGTCCTGATATCCTGTTTTAGGGTGGCTCCTTTCCCTAGCAGGGTCCTTTGGAGCCACCCTTGTGTGTGCTAGTAAACTGTGCAAGGGGAATTTATCAACACTGGAGCAGACACAAACTGGAGCAGCTGTGCATGGCAACCAATCAGCTTCTCTGTTCAGTTTGTTCAGTTGAGATTTGAAAATGAAAGAGAGAAGCTGATTGGTTGCCATGCACTGCTACTCCAGTTTTGATAAATTCCCCTCTGTGTGTCTACACAAACAGAGCAAGGCAAGTCACTCCCTTCCCCCTGCTCCCCACTCCTCTTTACTCCCTTTTCCAAGCTAGGAGATGGACATCTGATGGCGACTTTTCTGACCCCTGTGATCTTGTAGTGGACAGGAAGTTTAGGGAAGCCGATCTGAGAGAGTTGGAGTCAGCTGTTTGGAAACATAATGGAGGGAATTTATCAAAACTGGAGCAGCTGCGCATGGCAACCAATCAGCTTCTCTTTTCGGTTTGTTTATTTAAGATTTGAAAATAAAAAAGAGAGGCTGATTGGTTGCCATTCACAGCTGCTCCAGCCTTTGTCTGCTCCAGTTTTGATAGATTCCCCTCAATGAATGTGTTTATGCAAGAATACAAAGAACTGCTTTGCTGGGCAATGTATATTTGTATATTTGTTTGATCTGTATTCATTATTGAAAAACGTTTGTGAGTTGAATACTACTTTAACCTTATTTTCTGCTGATCCTGCCAGTAATGCACTTTCTGTTCTAGAACGACCACACTCACTGTACCGTGTCCGTGAAATGTAATACAGAACACTATACCCTTTCCTCGCCTCCATTGTATAGGGAGGACATGTTCTGTAGTCCATACACACTTCCTTTGTCCACAACTGTGTTTTTATACCTTAGGTCTACCCAGCTTCCTTGGTAAATGCCCATACCGCCCAACTTTCTGAGGTGAGAAAGAAGGACACTTTTAGCACAAATTTGTCAGCAAAGGATACACTCCTGCCACCACCCAGTTATGTGAATGTGAAGAAAACAATCGGTTAAATGCAAATTCTTAACAACACTTCCTGTATACTGGCTTAAAGTAGAACTCCATAGAATGCAAGGTGCTCTGTAAATGGGTAAGATGGGGGGGGAGGGGGGGAGTGGGAAAAAAAACACTACAGCTTCCATGTATGCGAGCCGCAGCTCTCAAAGCTGCAGGGGGCCAATAATATAGCATGAGCTGTTAGCTGTACCATCCGGCTGAATGCAGATACAACACATTAGAGGTGACTTTTTACATTGTAGTAAGAACTAAAAGCCATTTGCCTGGAGTTCTCTTTAAGTGTTCATGTCGATGGGCATTCTAGTTAGATGCTGTGTTTTTTATTCATATGCATGCAGCTGGGTTTGAATGGAATACACAGCATTTGACAAACAAAGGCTGCGTTTGATCTGCTTTGCCTGCAGTTCAGCCTGCCATGTGTTCTGCTCAACTACCTGCCTTTGAGGTGCATTCTGAATATATGTAAAATGCAATAAAACGACATCAACATGAGCCCTCAAAAAAACCAAATGCAACAATTTTGGGAGTACATGAAAGGTTCAGTTTAACACTTTTGGTAGTCACTGGCTGCCAGGAGCTGAGCAGGATACTCTGGCTGGCGTCCCACCCAACTCTTGGCGACCAGTGACCTATCACGTTAACATCCACCTTCAGCACCATTTCTAGCCCCCCCGCTTCAGCAAAAAGTGTAGGGACACCTACAGTATGTGTAAATAATAATACAAAGAGAGACATCTGAGAAGCAAAGACAGCTATGGGGATTTGGTTTCAAAAGAGAAGCAGTACCTCCAAATGAAGGACAGCAGGGAGCTATGTGCACCTGGTCTCACCATAGAGAAGAAAAGCCGTCACTTTAGCCTGGTGCATGCCCGGGGCAGATGCCATCATCATCCTCAGCCAGTCCCGGTGCGTACTCAAGATTTTAATGTCTGAACATTCACTACTCCTTTAGTAAATCACAACCGCACACCTGCATTGTGGAAAGGAGCAGTAAAGCAGCACTGTTGTGCAGCACTACATAGTAGAAGGCAAAGCCTGAGTTTGTATTGTTCACATATGGCTGCCCCATTTACATATATAATTTCAAGTTATATATAGAAACACGGATTTAAAACACTTACACACATTGCTAAAATAGTTTACGGTAAATAAGGTACTCTGTTGACATTGATAAGACTATACATTTCCTTTAATAAACCTAAGCATCTAAATCTCAGTTGTAGTATAAGCAGTAAAATGTGAATTTTGCTTGGTATGGATGACTGCACTACTTATGAAATAAAACTAATATATATCTTTTTCCTCGTCTCCTTAACCCACATCTTCCTCTCTGCCTGTCTCTTCTCCTCTTCCCCTTATATTTTTCCATGGCCTACTTTTTCCTTAGTCCTTTCCCAGGAGCGCTTTCTGTCCTGCTGCCTGTGACTAACTTCAAAGAGAGTGAGGCGCACTGAGATGGGACCCCCTCCCACATGTAGCTTCCGCCACTCCCTCCAGCCCCCAACCAACTCCATCCCCCGAGTCTTCATTACCAGAAATCATGCCAATTAGTGCTCCATGAGCTTGTTCTTGGTGCCCGGGGGAGCCCGTGTATAGTGCACTGGGTATATATTTGAGATATACATATATATTTATATTATAACTCCCCATTGCACTCCGTAACAGTAGTTGTCAGAATGGGCCCTTCAAGGCAAGAAAGGGGCCAGATTTCAAGTCTGTTTTTCCACACGAGCAACCCAAAATTACCTTAATTAACCTGTACTTTGGTCATTCAGATGTTACTTAAAACTATGGCCTACTTGCAGAGAAGATTCTTTTGAACTGTTTTTTGGAAATATCACGTAACCCCACATCTCCAGTGGGGATAATGATATAGGTTTTTAATATCTGTGAAAAGGAGAGAATGTTTGTTTAAACAGGACAAGACTATTTCTCACCAGTGACCCGAGGTGAAGGAATGCCTCTGGCAGCGAGCTTCACAATACAGAGATGAGATTAGGCTGTAGCTGTATTTTTTACCCTTGTGATTTTAATACGTTATATGCTGTGACTGTTTCTGGCAACTAAATGAAGGATTCAGCAATGTGTTTTACTGATAAGGCACTTACTATATATCAAGTATGCGCTGGAAACATACATGAAGCCATTATTTTTGTACAGTAGAGACAAAGGCTTGCCATAGAAATTAAATGAGTGTTCCTGAATCCGTATTGGCCAGATCAGGTGACTCGTGTGTGCCAATAGGGCTCTAGTTTTGATTGGAGAGGCATGATACACTTGTCCAATTTCTGTTGTTTTCCTGTGTGACATCCCACTTCCTCCTCATCCATGCGTATAAAACGAAACACTCTAGTAATCTGAACATACATGTTTATGCCTGCATATGGTCAAAAAGACCTCTTACAATAGTCAGAGTATGCTTTCTCATATATTGGTCATCCCAAGGCTATGGCCAGCTATAGACTTATGAATTGGAAAAGGTTATATGAAAGTGTATTGTAAATTACAAAGTCTTCTGATACATTGTACACAAATCCAATATTTTTTGGGAGGGAAAAACAACCTTTGGCAACTGTTGCAGAGTATAATGGGCAAAGTTGGAAAATATCGACCACCCATATGGGTACCTCATCCAACAAGCACTTCTGCCTTGCAGCATTTGCGCCCTTGGTTGCAAACCTGGCCAGGACAATATCTACATGGAGCTTGCATATTCTACCTTTTGTGGGTTTACTCCGGGTGTTATGGTTTCCTCTCACACACCATAGACATGCTGGTAGGTTAAATGGCTCCAGTCTATATTGCATTGCATGCATATATATTATATTGCATTGTTTGTAAATTGTCAACGATATATAAACACCTGCAATGAATACATATGAGGGGAGTTTAGCCTGTAGAATGAGTATGCATGAGGGTTACCCTGTATCTCATCCATTGCTTTCAGCATCCACATTCTGGCTGCAGCTTCCACTTTTGTTCCATAGATTGTAACCCCTTTGAGGGCAGGGACTTATGTGAATGTACAATATGTAAAGCACTGTGTAAATTGTTGACACTGTAATAAATAAATATAAAGGCAGTTTAGTTTGTTGAAGAAGTATGTATGAGGGTCACTCTGTGTCTCATCTATTGCTTCCAGCATCCAGATTTGGTTGTATCTTCAACTTTTGTTCCTTAGATTGAGGGCAGGGACTGATGTGAATGTACAGTATGTTAAGCACTGCATAAATTGTTAACACTATATAAATACCTGTAATAAATTAATATGAAGGCAGTTTAGTCTATAGGAGTACTGTATGTATGAGGGTTCTGTATCTAAACCATTGCTTTCAGAGTTAACATTCTGGCTGTATCTTCCACTGTTGTTGTCTTCTTTTCCATTTGTAATCACTGGAAACAAAATATCTAAGCACATTTCATTGTTTTTTTCTTACAGGCCTGGTGAAGTTAGGGATCCACTGTGTTACTTGTCAAAAGGTCGCCATCAAAATTGTCAATCGAGAGAAGCTCAGCGAGTCTGTTTTAATGAAGGTACATTTATATCAAGTATTCAATCAACATAAAACTGTGTTGCATATGTGAAGGAAAATGTTTCTGTATAAATATTTATATTTGAAACTGATTACATTGTATCAAATACTTGGGAGAGACACTGATAGGGATCTCTCCTAAATGGGGTCAAAAATTGGAGCAAAGCCTAACAGAGGTTTTATTTAATCCCAGACCATGGTTTAAAGAAAAAAAGGTTTTGTCAATAGTTTCACTTCCGTCACACTCGTGGGGGTCAATAACATGACCATAGATGGGCTGATACCTCCCTAAGAAGGGTAGGTGAGGATATATCTGTTCTTTCTATAATGACTCTGTGCTCAATACTTTGAGCAGATTTCATATAATACTTTTGATCCATTCATCTACTCGACTGTAAAATATTGGGCCTGCTTGCAAGGAGATGCTCCGATAAGTTGGAAAACTTCTCTGTACAAGTGCCTCTGACAGCTGGAGGTGGTCATTGTTGCATGCTAGGACAGCCAAATCAGTCCAACTGTCACAAGTCTTTCTCAAAATCAAAAGCATTTGTTGTAATAATTGGGCCGCCTTTAGCCACCCACAGCCTCTTCTGTGTGCAGCGAATAGCTGATAAGGCTAACTCATCTATCAGGTAGCTTTTATTTTATTAAATACAAATGAGATCATCTCCTTCAGAAATACAGCAGTGAGTTCTAATTTACTGTACATACTTTCCTCAGAGACCATAACATAAAGGGTACAGGTACTCTTAAATACTAAACCAAACGCACACATATGCTAAAAACACACACAGACACACAAAGGTTGAACTTGATGGACCTGTGTCTTTATTCAGCCTCAAATACTATAACTATGTAACTATACTGTGTAACTATAATACCTACAGTCTGTAACTCTTTACTGCTACTAAATTAAAGGGTAACTATATTGGCTTTGGGCCATTTTTTACCCTTTTAAGCCTATATATTTTTAAGCTGATTTTTTTTTTAAATACCTTTCACTCTATTTATGATGCATGTTTTAAAAATGAACATTTAATACATGGCAAGGATACCATTTACTCACAGGGAGCGAAGAGAAATAACCTGTATTCCTGGGCATGGGGAAACATATGAATCACTACTTTTCCTCCCATGTGCCAGCACTGATACTTGGTGATTGGACAAGTGCTGTCCTATAGGAGCAGGAAGAGAGCCATTAATCCAGCTTGGACAGCATGGGAACAAAGCAAAAGCAAGTATGTGTTGCTGGCAAAGAAGGGGGGAGTTAAGTGAACATGCTTTAAGGCTTGCTATCTCTCATTGAAACTCAGTCTCAAAAGGGATTAGTGTGTGTATGTGTGTATTTCAGCTTCCGCTATTGAGCTCTGTAAACAATAGACTATTTGTAATTGGTAGCAAGGTGAAATAGGAAAATGTACAAAAGGAGCTTCGGTCAGGAGGAGGCTTAGCTGAATATTCTTATACAATATTTCTTATTTACTTATTTCACGGACTTCACTGTAGAAGTTAGCATCCATGAGGATAAAGCAGCTGAAAAGTGCAACTAATTCTGTAGTATTTTTCTGATGACTCCATGTTATAGTGAAGAGGATGCTGGTCCCCTGTGTCAATGAACTCTGCCCTAGAGAGTTCATTGAGACTGGGTTTGTTGGATACTACATGGGGCACACTGGTCATTGTATGCAGATGCTTGGTGGGAAAGTCCTACTAGTTTTAAGTACATTTGTATATAAACAGACACCCCAGAGCTATTATAATTGGCAGGTGATCTGCTCATGAGTAAGTGCTGATTTGTTAGAGGTTTGCTCATGATATGACTGACATTTCTGTCTGATGTATGATGGTGATCAGCTGATGATAAGAATACTTGGCATTAGCCTGTATGTTGCATGTAAAAAGATCAGAACAGACACTGCTGCTAAATGGTACTTGTGGTAAGAACAGATGGAAGACCAGACACAGGCTGCTGAAAATGGACTTTATATCATCAGATCACATATTGTTTCTCGCCAAAACAGATCATTCTTATGCAAATGTAGATCAATACCTCAAAATGAACCTGTCAACAATGTGCCCAGCGTGTTTGTTTCAAAGGTTTCCTCTATGACCTCTGCTCCTGTATGATTGACCCCCTTGAGAGATAAAAAAAAATAGAAACAAACATTGTTATAAGTCTGTGGATGGAGCTGTAAAATGAATATGAAATGTTCTTGCAAAATACGCCCAGCGTTTTAGAAATTGGTTTGATAAAGACGCAGCAAGACTGTCATTATGAAGAGTAAAAATGCAATTAGGGACACAAAAGCTAGTAACAGATTTTAGAGATAAGCTGGACATGTAAACGCAATCCATCTCATCTTTTTTTGGATAAGCTTTAGCCCTTAGCCTTAAATAGAAAGGAGTGTAAATACACACATGTTCCCATTTCCTTTATGGTAGATGGAAGTACAATTGGTTGCCTTTAGACATGTTTTTTTTAACCTTTATGATTGTTGCTTTCCTCTGCAAAATGTTGTCAACCAAAATTATCTAGATCTGAAGACAGTCATTTTTTAAGTATTGTCCATTTTTGCCCTTTTAACCTCATTTCTGTCTAACCAAACACTTCCAAAAATGGTCACAATCTCATTCATTTACAGAATGTAACCCCTTTGGTTAGGAGTTTGGTAAGAGGTAAGGGTTCAGTACACCTAAAACTGATACCATAACTTGTGGTAGATGCTTCTTGGAGAAGCCAAACTGCCTGCTGTCTTTTTCTACCAATACTTATCTGTACTGCCTCCACTGCGATCTTCTCCACTGCAATTGATTCCTGCTGCCTCTTCTCCCAATCAACTGCACTGGTACTGTCCTTGCTACTTCCTCTCTCAAGACACCATACCATTACTTATGCCCCACTGCCTCATATCACATACCACTATACTGTTACTAATCCCTCACTGCCTCCTCTCCCATCCCACTGTACCACCATTGATCCCCTACTGCCTTTTCTCCTATCCCTAGCTACCATCACTGAACTGCACTGCCTTCCTTCCCATCAGACTCTAGCATCACTGATCCCACAATGCCTCCACTCCTATCTCTCCCTAGTATCACTGACTCCTACTGCTTCCTATTCTATCCGTCTCTATCATAACTGATCCCCCACTGTCTCTTCTCCCATCTTGTTCTACCATCACTGAGGCACTGGTTCCCCTTCTACTTTACTATGCATCACTGATAATCCACTACCACCTCTTGCATCCCCCAGTGCTATCATTGATCCCTGCTGCTTCCTTTGCAATCCTACTCCACCATCACAGAGTCCTGCTGCCTTCTCTGCCATCCTACTTCACCATCACTGAACACTGCTGCCTCCTTTGCCATTAAGCTCTAGTGTAACCTGAAGCACAGCCCCTTTAATTGTGATTATGCTCACAGCCTATACAGGCTTCAACCCTACCTCCTACATTGACACAATGCAAACGCACTGGAGGCCCAAATTCTAGAAGATCGAATCCAAATGGATCAAGGTGGAAGAGGTGAGCCGGGGCACATGCAGTGTGGCTTTTCAGACACAAGATAATTTAGAGTGAGCTCAGTCAACAGGCAACAGATGTTATTACACCCCCTATCCCTTAGGGTTTAGTAAATTACTGCATTTTTATTTTACACTATTTAGTACCACCCCTTCTTTCTTTTGTATTGTTTATAACCCCTGTGTCCATCCATATATGATTAATGTAAATGCTTATATTGCTTAAAGGACACTTCAACCTCTGAGTCACTATGTACCAGGTTGGTAATACTCCCTTTATTTATTGTACAGACTGCTCCAGAATCATATACAGATGCTATTTTACTCTAACAATACTAGTATGACTAATATGTATATGTACAGTATGTATGTGCAGTATATAGTATATAAGTGTTTATTTCTCTGTATGCATTTTTCACATGTGAGTCAGTTACCACTATGCTTTAACATTAGAGAACATAACATAAACTTGTATTTCTGCCATCATTTGACAGTTTGGCTTTTTATTGAAGTGCACATCAGATATACAGTAGAACATCCATAACCAATTCACACATCCATCATTGTGTTAGGTAGGCTCAAGACTGTAGCAAAAACGTAAAGTAAAAGTATAGTATATTTTCAGTGAGTTCATATTTTAAGTTACCCTGTGCATGTTTCCCCACCCTACTCCAATATATCATACACAAACACAGACCTTAAATACAATGCAGACCCACTCCACACAACACCGTTTGCTGCACTGGGCAGGGTTTAAACCCATTTTTTCCCTGGGCATCCATGCTGTATTCTACAGGCTTGGCTACAGGTGTTATAAAGATGAATGGGAGAACCCAACTGCTCACTTCTAATAACAGTCTCTCAAGGAACCTCTGATCTACTAATGGACAGTACCACGATATATCTATCCTAACGTTACTAAGCAGAGACAGCAGTGTGGGAGCAGTGGAGCCTCTCCTCACATCTCCCAGGTAAGTATTGTAACGACTTAAACAATTTCTCTTTTTAGCTGTCTGTAAAGGGTATCCTTCCCGACAACCACCAATTAGAGGGGGTCACTTCTTCTACTGACATGCAGTGTAACAGGGCATTCATACCATTGATCCCCAGTGTAACAGGTTATTCTTCACACTAACCACCAATGTCAAGGGCATTCTTCCCTCTGACCACCAATGTAAGAGGCATTTTTTCCACTGATCACCAACGTAAGGGGCTTTTTTCTCACAGACCACCACTGTAAGGAGCATTTTTCCCACTGTGTATCAATGTAAAGGGCATTCTCCGCACTGACCACCAATGTAAGGAAGTTAATCTGCCACTGAACACCAATGTTAGGGACAGTCTTCCCACTGACCACCAATGAAAGGGGCATTCTTCCCATTGACCACCAATGTAGAGGGCATTATTATTACTAACAACCAATGTTAGAGGCATTCTTCCCACTATCCACTTATGCTAGGGACATTTTACCACTGACCATA